AGATGACTATAAAACTATACTAAAAATGGGACTAAAGCTATTGTAGAAATGAGAATGTAGGGCAATAACTTGCAGATTCTACCCCCTTCATCCATGTGGTGCAGGGTGGCATCCTTTGGGAATGACGGTTGTGAGACATCTGTTCGAAGCTGAACATAGTTGGGTGTTATGTACAGCCTATTCATCATTCATATGCAACAATACTGACCCTTACTAAAAGCGTCGACGTTTGTCTAGGGTTGCGTATTATATAGTCAGCCTCCTGGTTCATCATACTACTGGCATGCCAGTTGGTAGCCGCAAACAGGCGGATGGTGCAGGCGATAAGCACCCCAAATCTATTTTCTAAGATAGGAACGCATGAATGGTGTGAAATATTGTCTTCCATCCAGCAATGCAATGTCATTCCTTTTCATTCATGAACCTTTTTGTTTACCTGTATGTAGATGGATTTACACTTTGATGGATGTCTGCATTGATCATTTCCCTGCTTTCTTGGCTCACAATTAATGTTTAAGTCTTTAAAGGGAGTGCTCCACATTTGTATGGGAATAAACTGAAATAAACTCCACTGAAAAAGCCACCTTGGAGATCATTCGGCGCAGTTCACAGTTTTGCCCTCTCTAAGACCTAAGACTCCGTGGTATCTGAACTACACGCACCTGAAGACGTGCAGGTGCCTGGGTCACTTTGAAATAGTCTCCGTGAGACTATTTTAAAGTGACCCAGGCATCCATTACGCAGTAGCAAACGTCATTAAAATCCTGTTATTCCATTAGCCATGCGACAATCAAGTCCAAGAAAAATATTATTGTCGAGTCACATAGCTTGCATTCGTGAGCACCATTTCCAGTTGAAACGGCCGTCAATTAGCTCTCAATCAAGGTTGGGCAGGGTACGATGACGTCATTAAAAATTAGCTACTAAGGAACGCATTGACTAAAAAGAAAACTTGTGTAATCTACAACTGTCTTCTAGATTAGAGGTCAATCTTCAATGTCCAATGTTCACATATTTCGTAGCTTTCCACAAGATCCAGTGGCTTTTTAAAAGTTACACGTCATCATTGATAAAAACGGGCGTAAAGGAGACAATGTGAAACCTAGCAGAAAAAGCTTAACACATCACACATCGGTCGAGGGATCATCTCAGTGAATCACACTATTGCATTCACATTGTGGCATCACACACAATCGAACTCGCACACGCATCCACTCATGTTCCAACATTCGCCTCACTCAGTAGAAACTCCATAAGTTGGCGCTTGAAGCGACCTAGACTCTAACGTTGCGAAGGTGAATAACGCGCTGTACGACGCCCTGGCTGCTGCTTTGAGTGCGACCTCTGAAGATGATGCTCGGATCGCGCCGTGTCAAGACCGGACTCCGTCCGAGCGGCCGCCACCCGAGATCCTGAGAGCCGAGACCTCCATGACATCATCACGGCGGGATTCCCGAGCAACGACACGAAGGAAGCTCAACTCTGCGGCCCTGCTGGCAAATCCGTGCTATGCTGGCCTTTTTTCTTTACCCCAGGCCAGGGAAAGGTTACAAAGGAAAGGTTAGGGTTTTCTTTACCTGATTTCGCATGGCATCCGTACCCGTGTACTTTGTCCTTTTTTGTCTCTTGTCTCATTGTTTAGATCGGTGTGGTCTAGCTCTGTGCAGCGCATGCGCTGCACGGATTCTTTTAACGAGCGCGTGGGTTGCCCATTCCCTAGTCTCATAAATATATTCTCCTTCCTGCTGCTTGACCTGGCACGATTACTGATGGATCAGCGCACGGTGTCCACGCTCGTTTGGCAAATGTCCCTCTCGTCTGGGGTGGGATCCGCTACGGACACCTCAGCCTCGGCCCGGAGGATTATGGCGTCGAACTTTCCGAAGCGGACGGGATCTCGGGACCGTTAGCCAGCAGTTGGAGTGAGATCGCCGGCCGTGGGTGCCGAGGTGTCGCGGCGAGGTGCTCCGAGCCCGCTACATCTCGAGGGATCGTTCGCGACTCAGGCGCAGCACCGCGGCAAGGGTGGTAAAATCTGCCAACTTGGTGGATAAGGTCAGCGACAAGAAACGTATGCATCCACGTGAAGCTTGGTGCCAATGATTTTTTGGACAGCAAGTTTTGGTGACAGCCAAGACGAACAAATACAGCACACCGTGCAAAGCAAAATATGAGGCCTCCATACGTAGATATTATGCATTCATGGTAATGCATTTCGCCACAAAACACCAGCGAACATTTCCGTGAAAATCTTTACCGTACTCTACGGCGCTATGGTATCTTTTCTAGGTTTCATTCCAACCCGGCGACAAACATATCCTGTGATTTTTAGTTGGTCGGCGGACTCGGTCACAGGTCGGCGGACTCGGTCACAGGTCGGCGACACATCAGTGTTTTTCCATTGTCCGTGCGGTCGGCCACTTGGCTGTTTTAGCAGCCGACCCCAGTTTCCCGAACTGGTCAATGTAATATTCTGAAAAGTCTAGACTTGGAGATTCATCTGGCCACAAGAGCATGTTTAAAGCGTTGCGATGCGAGCGATATGAGGTGGGCGGTAACTTTCAATGGGCTGCAACCTTGCAGGCGGGATTTGGATTACAGTGTCATGAATGCCTGCCTAGGGCTTAATTTTTGACCTTTCTTAAATCGTTGGCGGTGCCCTGATTCAGCATCCTCCTTTCAACGACGAGAGACATTGAAAGGTCAAGGTAAGTCGGTGGGATGATTCGATCAAGGTAGAAATTGACCTGTGATTATCCAAGCCGTCTTTTAAAGACACCCAAGAGGCTGTTGACTACCAGAAGCGGTCAGAAGCGACCAGGCTTTTTCCCTTAGAAAAGAATCGTGAGTTTGATGTCGAAGTCTGATGACATTCCTCATGAAATGAATAACAAGAGTTTGATGGCTTTGATGGCCTGCGGCCACGCTGTGCTGTGGTCACTACACAAGTGACGTCATCGCTATGTATAGAGCATGTGAAGGTCTGGCTTATGGCGAAGCCCCCGCGCAGCAGTCCCCAGGTGCCGATCACCGAAAGTAGCCTTGAGCACTGCTGGTTTACGGAAAGCCTTCGCTTTAAGCCTTGCGACGATGACTCCCAGCCGGCGGCCGGTTGCTGGGCAGTGCGCGATTTTGCACCAGCGCCATCTACAGATCATCGTGTGTCTGAAGCTGCCTGTTAGTCGGCGCGGGCATGGCGTGTTGAAACGAAGACGTTCATCAGTTCAGCTCCGCAATGGAAAGGACTCTTAAACAGGTAACTAGCGGAAGATTGAAAGCGTGATTTGCACTCGGAATGGTTCCATTTATCTTGTGATCTTTCAACTTTCATATCATCAACTTTCGATGTCATGCACGCATTCAACATGTTCATTTATACAATGGCATTCAATCAATTCCAGGATAACTGTTTCTACAAAGAATCCTGACACACCTGCCCGAGACAAAAGGATAGTCCAATCACAAAAGCAGCCGTCTTTCACCTTCGGGACTTGAAGGGGCCTAACGTTTAAACTGGATTTACGACTAGATTTGCCGACCTTGACCGCGAAAAAACAGCGGAGGAGTTCGACATCCAGGGCAGCGAAGTACGTGACAAAATTCCAACCGGTGGCAGCCAACACTGGGGGGTGGCTTCCAACACGTGGGCCCCTTGGAGACCATCTCCCATTATGGAAAAGACGTATGCGCTTTGGGAAAAGGTGAATAAGACATCCAGCCGTAATGACCATACTCTCCACCACACCTTAGGCATGTTCTAAACCTGACGAGACATGTGGTGCCTCGTGGGCACCTTTGGTTGCGCCCCAGTAATTGGTATATACATGTTTAAACTGGATTTCTAGGCCGCCTGAAAAGAAAAAAAACAATATATTATGTTTCCGGGTGGGCTCAGCTTCCCAAACCAAACTCAAGAAGGCCGTTTCATGCTTTCCCGATCCAAAGGTACCAGAAATTCCAAGCTCGAGGTTAATGATTTCCCTCCGTTTGAAATGGACCGAAGGATTTTCTGGTCTGATCGATCGCCCAACTTGAACACCGGGATGAGGTGCGCGTTCCTCCAGATGGACGGAAAGGTGCGTGATATGATAGAAAAATTGATCAAATGTAGAAGATGTGCGCCGATTAGAGGGAAACACTTGTTCGCTGCATATGGCGGTAGGCCGTCGACAGCGACAGACCTCGACGCGTTCATCCTCCTGATGGCTGCACAAAGCTCCGGTAGAGTGGCTGGATGCAGGGAGAACGCCGAGACACAAATACGGTACGCACCGGGGGCGCACCCCCATTACCTCGCGCCGCCTCCGCCGCCTGCGCAGCAATGCTTGGGCCAAAGGTACCGAAGTGAGCACTGAGTGAGTCGGCCCGGGTGCACGTGTCGTAGTGGGGTGTGTCACACCCTCCCGCCTGCTGCAGTCCGGATCGCTTGAGGTGGCTCCAGAAATCTCGCCGTCCTGTCGGCAGACCAGTGCATAGGTACGAGCGTCCGTGAGAGTGATCGGTCCTTCACTCTGTTACGGCACCGCTGGTACACGCGACGCGCATCTGCGGTACAGCAGCGCCCCCAGGTCTTACGGGTGCAGTCGCGCTCCTAAATAACTGCGGAAACTTCGGTATCTTCAGGCAGACATGGCACCCGGACTGGCGTGACGTCACGGTGGTGGTCGGGCAGTGAGTGTTGACTGCGAATTTCGAAAGTTTCATAAATGCGGCCACATTGTCATCGGCGGTGCCAGCGGCGTGGAGCGGCCCCAAATCAGCGCGTAGCAGACTCAGGTTGAGCGCGTCCCAGTCCCAGAATGATCGCAACCACGTCAAGGATAGTTCAGGGATACTTTAAAAGGAAAGAAAAGTTACAACAAGATAAGACCGCAACTTTTGCAGTCTCGGATATCAAGAGACAGCTATTGAAAAGAGCCACCCCCCCCCCCCATCATCATAGCATCTTTTCTTCCTTGCAGGTGTTGGCCTTGGTGGTCGTGGGTCAGCTGATGCTGGCCATGGGCTTGAACTTCGGCATGCACAGCGTCACCCTCATCCAGGTGCCGGACGATCCTGACGGATTCCTCAGCGCCGACCAGCTCAATTGGTCGATCGCCGCCACAAACGCTGGGCGCCGTGCTGGGCGGGCCTGCTGGGCGCGCCGGTTGGCGCCCGCGTTAGGCGCGCGGCGCCTGCTGCTGCTCATCATGCCGCTGTACGCGCTCGGTTCGCTGGCGGTCGGCCTCGGCGACCACTTCGGCTGGACGTTGAGCGGCCGGGTGGCCATGTTCGTCGCGCTCGGCATACCCGAGGGCAGCGTGCGTGGTTATATGTCTGAGATTGTGCCGCCCACGGCGCCGTGCCCTCTTAGCGCCCTTTTGAGCTTCATGCTGTACCTGGGCCAGGTGTTGGTTCTGGCTGTGGCACCGCTGCTGCGCTGGCAGGTGCTGTTCATCGTGGTAGGCGTGGTGCCGGCCGCGCTTTGCCTCTCCGGTCTCCTCTTCCTGCCCAACTCGGCCAAGTGGCTGCTCTCGCGCGGCCACTCGGAGGAGGAAGCCGTGCGCTCCATCCAGTTCTTCCGCGGCACGCAGGTGGACGCCGCTGCTGAGGTACGCAGTATCCACGATTCACTGCAGCACGCACATGCGGACGGCGCCCGCACTGCCGTGTGGACGCTGCTGCGTCAGCCGGCACGTGGCGCCCGCTGCTACTGGCCTCCATCCAGATGGTACAGTTCGCTTGGTGCGGCGGCGCCACGCTGTTGCTCATCACACCGCCTTCGTGCTGGATCCGGTGCAGATTTCACTAAGCGAGTACCAGCGAGCCACGCTAACCGGGCCGCGTTCGCTGCGCTCGTCTGCGTGCCCGGCGGCATCATCATCGAAAGATACGGCCGGCTACCGTACTGCGTCTGGGAGGCGTGCTCTCTGCCATTGGGCTGCGCCGCTGTCGCCGCGTATTTCTTCCTGGCCGCGGAACCCCAGGAGCGTCTCGGCTGGATTGTGCTGGCGGGCGCTGGGCTGACGCAGGTGGCCTTTGTCGGCATGCTCGCCAACGTCGCATTCAACTACGTCACCGAGTTGCTGCCCAACAAAACGCGCACCTCGGGCGCGAACATTGTCCTCGTTGTGATGAATTTGAGTCTATTTGCGCTGCTAAAAATGTACCCACTAATCAGAGATGGGATTGGTCTGGGTGGAGGCTCGTCATCCACTCGCTGGTAAGCCTGTGCAGGTGTTCTTTGCCACATTTTGCCTGAAGGAAACCAAGGGTCTTTCGCTAGAACAGATTCAGCATCTGTTTTAGAACGTTGAAAAGGTAGCTGAGTTGCCGCCACCTCGTGCCCCTCAGTCACCGCCAGGTTTATAAACCACTGATGTCCTGTGTTGATACACCGAAATGAATATGCTTCCGACTCCATCAGCGCGTCAATGACCATGGGGATTTAGAATCGGTTTGTAATAATGCGATTTTCATTACCTCATAGCCACGTTGCGATGGAATGTACCTAAATTTCCTGAGAGTGTTTATCCCATAAGCTCATGTTCATGTTCTACGATAGCAGAGCGTGTATGAAAAGACCGAGAGATCTCATGTCTGTATGCAACCTGAGGACGTTACGCGTGCGTTCTTGTCGATCATTCATGACGCACTAAATTTCGTCAGATTTGGTGAATTCGTCGTGCTTGACAGCCATAAGCAGGAGTTCGCTTTCTAATTTGTTTCCAAACATAGTGGGAAATAATTTGATACACAAATGTACACGTCCTCGCCATTCGTCAGATGTCACGTGCTCTGTGCTCTTGTTACCTGTTTATCATCCTGCAGGAACAACGTTACATCCTGGTTTGTGGAACTAAATTTTCAATGTCTATGATTCTGTTCTCGCGACTGCGCAGACCAGCAGCCAACAGCTGAACATCTACAACACTTTAAGGCGTCATTACGCAGCCCGTTACACGCAGCATAATTGTTTTTCTGGTGAAACTAACAAAAAGAGAAGGCACGAACTTGTACATACAACTGATATCGTGTAGGCGAAACGCGAAAATTCCGGGGAAAGCATGCATGATGCTTCCAGTTATGTGCTATTGTTTCAGCCGTGATTGCCTCGTTGCAATACAATTCGGCGAGTGTGCGTCTTTCTTTTCTTATCCTCAAGCGTCGTCTTCTGTCAAGGAAGATCCGTTCTCGTATTACCTGCGCAATGCGGTATATTTCCAGAAAGCCAATCTACCTGTGGCGGACTACTGAAAACACTGGTTGCACTAACGAGACAGACCGATGGCTCCGTGAGAAAGACTTCTACAAAAAACATTTGTTTTTAATTGTTTTGAATTATTTCCATAGGTTCTAGAAGATACAGACGCAAATACGCTTATGCTCTACGTGATATGGCATATTTTGCATCTACTGAAACAGACTGCCTTCTCCGAAGAAATCAGTGTCTCTAAGTGTCAAAAAGTTTCAGTGTCATGTAGCCCGAAGCTGCCCAGATTTTGTCACCACGCATATTGCCAGCGTATTTTAAACGTCACGCAGCACATATCCCAGACCGCTATCGGGGTACAGCTAAGGCTGCTCGGACTGGTAGCTCTTAATCAAGCCTACCCATTCTGGTGTGATTCTGCATTACAAATCTACGCACCCAACTTCCACTCAGCACAATATGATTCGTAGCCTTTTCCATAGCGCATTTCATGAACAATTCAGATAGTCAAAAAGGAAAAAAGAGTATAAACAAAATATGGACTTTGCTGCTTGGCAATGGACATTCTCCACTTCTTTTCGGTAAAATTTTGGATGATGATGATGATGATGATTTGGTGTTTTAGGGCGCATGGACTGCTGCAGGTCATGCAGCACCCATAACTATCAATTTATGCAGAACTGCCAATCAGGCAAGTGCATCGATCAAGTCATCATATAAAGCCTTGATGATCAGGCCTAGTATCATGATGAAAAGATGACTGGGAAATCTCTAGCGCGAAGAAACTGGAGCACTTTACCAAAGTCCACAGCGTGCGAATAATCCCCTAAAAATTCACATAGTGTGCGATTCAGGACGTGGTGTCCGAAAACTGCGCTCTCGTTGCAGTGAGGTGACGGCAAGCGACCAGTATATGATGCACAGTCAGCGGGTCAGAGTATCGACGGCAGCATGGTCTGTTGCCAGCCAATAACAGGTGACGGTGCGCAACATATGTGTGGCCTATCTGCAACCGGCGAAGAGCAAACTTTTTCTCTCCGATTGTCCCGAAAACACGACTGTCATAGTCCAATACGGGGTTTCACGGACTGCAGCTTGTTGGCGCTCACCGAGTTCCAGTGGAACTGCCATCGCCTCTGCATTAACGACGACACTTCGGGGTACATGTCTTGAGCTGGTAGTGGTGTTAAAGGAATGCGTGTCCCTGTCGTAGCGCGCTTTGCTGCCGCGTCGCAAGATCATTACCGCAGATTCCCACGTGACTTGGGATCCAGCATAGTACGACCGTTTTTCCTCCTCGATCCAGTGAGCTAAGACGCGATTGAATGTCCTGGACCAGTGGATTCGACGAGGAGAAGCCGCCAGCAGCCAGGAGGCTGCCCAAGGAGTCGGAAAGAATCAAATGGAGACTGCTACCGTCCACTTCAATGAAACAGAGAGCTTTGCTGATGGTTATAAGCTCGGAAGTGACGATCGACGCGTGTGAAGGCGTGTGTGAATGACAGAGTTGTGGATATGCACAAAAAAGCACACCCTACATCTGCATCCGTCTTCGAACTATCTGTATAAGTCATCAGGTACCCGTCAAAGTAGGCTATGTGCTCTAAGGCTGCGCCTTGAAGTTCCGTCATGAGAACACGTTGCTTTTGCATGTTTGGTAGCGAAACATCCACTCTTGGAGATGCTAGCTCCCAAGGAGCAGTCATCATTGGTTTAGGTCTGAAAACACGTCGTAGGTTGAACACGCTTGCATCTAAAAGTTCCATCATTCGTACACAAAAGGGAGAAGTTTGTGGAGGCCGTTGATGTAGAAAAAACCTTCGTAAGTCATGCGAAAACATTGCTTTGTGGGTGGGATGATCTGGGAGCTGCGCCAGCTTGCACGTGTAGCGCAGCCCCAGCATCTGCCTTCGCAATGCTAGCGGGTGCTCCTGAGCCTCCACCAGAAGACTATCTATGGGCGATGTTTGAAAAGCCCCTGCTGCAATAGGTAGTGCGGCGTGATGCACCGTGTTCAAAGTACTTTTGATCAGGTCTGAAGAACCGTCATAGATAAAGCAGTCGTAATCAAGTTTTGAACGAATCAGGGAACGATATAGAAGTAACAGTGCCCTCTTATCAGCATCTTATGATGTACGTCTTACGCACCTTAGAATGTTCAGAGATTTTAAACATTTGTCGCGGTGGTTTCTTGTATGCTCACGGTATGTTAGGCGTCGGTCAAATCGTATGCCGAGAAATTCCACGGTGCTGTCATTGGCGACGCGTTGCCCACACAGCTTGATTTCCATTTCAGGACAGTGACAGCGACGACGACAGAAATAGACTACAGTTGTCTTCGATGTGGAAAACCGGAAACCATCGAGCACACTCCACTTCTCCAGACGTGTAACATCCAGCTGCATCTGTCGCTCCATCGTGCGAGTGGTCGACGAGCTACACCAGATAGCGAGGTTGTCTACGAACAGAGAACGGCTGATTCCATGTGGAAGCGTGCCCCCTATGTCGTTAATCATCACGGCGAAAGGAATGATACTTAATAAGCTGCCCTGAGGCACACCATTATCCTGCGGATACCTGTCGGAGTGATGAGAACCAACACGCACCCGAAAGGATCTGTCATTCAAACGTTTTGTAAAAGCTTTCCCATGTGACCGCGAAGGCCACAATCGAGCAACTTCATCAAAATTCCATGTCTCCATGTGGTATCGTATGCTTTTTCTATGTCAAAAAATGGCGCCGGTATGATGTTTGTTTATAAAACCGGCTCGCATTGCGGTATCAAGAGTTAAGATGTGGTCAATCGTGCTCCTGTTCTTACGGAATCCGCACTGAGCATTCGTGAAAAAGTTTTGACGTTCTCATGTCCGCGAGAGCCGCACATTCACCGTTCTTTCCATGAGCTTACAAAGCGAAGATGTGAGAGCGATCGGGTGATAGTCAAGGGCGTTCGTTCCACTTTTCCGGGGCTTTAAAATAGGCGCTACTATGGACTCCGCCAGGCTGGCGGCACGTTACCTGACACCCATGTACAGTTGAAAATTGCCAGCAGTGCTCGTAGTATACGGGGAGGAAAATGCCGTACCATATCATTGTGGATGATGTCGGACCCCTTCGCTACACTACGCAGCGAGCGAATGGCCGCTTCAAGTTCCACCACAGTGAGACGCTTGTTGTACATCAGGATGTCCCCTGTATAAAAATTAACTTGCGAAGTTTCACATCGCGCCCGATGCTGCAAAAACCGTAGATCGCAGATGTCATTTCGGCAACGGTCTGACAAGGCTTCCCCAATGGCTTCCGCGACATCACTTGGGTGAGTGATGTCTTGACTTCCCACTTGCAGTACGGGAAAGGAAGCTGGTAGATGCAGTCTGGCGATTCTTTTAATGCGGCCCC